ATTCCCCACTCTGCTTTCTCTTTACTTACATAAAACTGCACATTTAATTTCTGTTTACACTTATATAAACCATGTTTTTAGGAGCAGCCTGGGAAATCCTTAGTTGAAGATGGAGTTTGCTTTTGGAAAACACAGAGGTGAGTGACATCTGTATATTGTGTTATCAGAAGCGTGACACATGGTTGATTGGGACCAGGTGCTTCACAGAATCCATCTGAGTGAAGCTGTATACCTCTAGTTGACAGGCAATGTGACAGCCTAGTTCTTGTTAGCAAGGTCTTGATTACCAATATCTGCCTTCCAGTTAGGGGCGGCAAAAGAAACAGTTGAAAACCTTAGGGTGCCATGAATACGAAGCTGAGGTTTGGCCAAAAATAATACTCTCCGATTAATTCGTATACATTTGATTTCCAAGTGGACAGGACGGGTGGGTAGTGAGCAGACAATAATTTTAGGTTAATCTTAGAGGATTGGTAGCATTCACTGGGTATTCAGTTATTTACTGTTTATTTGCATCAACACCCATATTTTCTTAATTGGCAGTATGTGACAAGGGTAGACAACCCTTCCCTGATTTAACTCACATTCAATGCATTCTGAGTCTGAATCCTGAAGTCTTTAAATCATAGCTAGTTCTTTGAACAAAATGAGGGAGAGACACAAAACCAAGGTAGTGTCACCTTATCTTGTTTCCTAATTTATCCTTAGGTTAATTTACCAAACAAGTCAGTTTTCATTGGGTTATTTCCCAAGAGCTTAATCCTTATTTCCCCAGAGCTTAATCTTTCTGTGTATCCTTACCTTTGGGGGTAAATTTGCCTATTTTGGAAAGCCTCACAGACGGATTAGTGAGATCTAACTTGTCGTATTTTAGCTGAGAATGATTAATAACAGTGGATTATTTCCTTTGGGCTTATTTGCAGGATGAGGCGAGAGGATAATAGCATGCTATTTATGAGAAAATGTATTACTTGGTAAGTGAGATATCCACAATTTAAGCTTTTACTGGTATATTTGCTCGCGAATGAGTTTTTTCAATGTTTTTTAAAAGTAAATCAAAGGAAATAGCAGTTATGTGTACATTTGGGTATTTTGAATTGACACTAGGCTATACATTGAGATTATAAGATAATATCAGTCTAGGAAAGTATTTCTGGAAGTTTGTCTGTATTTTGGTGAGTCTTTGAGTTGGCTACGTGGACTGGTCTCTTTTCTTCCGAGATGCAGAGTTTGGTTCACTAATACCTCTGTTATTTACACTATTGTATAGTATTGAACTTTGAAGGAATGACTGATATCTTTAATCAAAAATGGAAATATAGAAGAGAGTCTTTCAAAGCTGACAATGGGAAGTTATGTGACATTTCTGTCAGCACTTCATTTTCCCATCTCTCCAAGGTAGCTTGTATGATTATAATAGCAATTAATATTCAATGACTGCTTCAATAATATGCCAGGTACTCTTATATTTCCTCAACATGAATTAACTAATAGTTTTATCATAACCCCATCCTGTGAGGTATCCCCTTTTTAAAGGTAAGGAAGCTTAGGCATAAATGAGCTTTGGTGGTTGTTGACCATTCTTGTCTTAGTAGACTCACAGATTTCCTGGGCTCATCTTGTCAAAGTCCTAGAAACTTCTGAGGCCAAGCAGGGGACTAGTGTGAGTACTGGCATGTGGTTAAAATTCCAAACTTCTACACTGTGGTTGGTGGCATCTTGGTAGGAATCTCTCTTTTTCTCCTGGCTGAGCTCTGTGATTTTGGCTGGAAAAATTCCTATACAATCATTCAACCTTCCTGGGTTTTTGCTCTGGCATTTCTTACTCGTTTCCCCTTCCACTGGGATCTCTGTAGGACATAGTACGATTGCCGATAGGTGAGTATTTATAGTTCTAGCACTGGCTTTTTCTTTAAAGCAAAACCTAAAACTCCTTAGAAAATAATTGGAATTTCAAGAAGAGCTTTCTGGTGTATTTTTACACTGCTAAGCAGAATGTGATGTGCTTGACTGAGTTGCTGTAAAACAGGCTGGAATATGGCTTTCAGGTTGGGGGGGTCCTCTGGAGTATCTCACATAAAATTCTGTGTATGGCCATTGTCTGGGCCTACCGACCTGCTGCCCTTTAGCCTGTGTAAAGAACTCTATAGTATGCTTTTGTTTTTTTGTCGCTTCCCACAGTAGTTTTATTTCTATTAAAGTGCTTTAAAAATAGGGAGCTATGATCCCTAGAATGCCATAAGAATTGATTTTAGAGGCCAAGAAAATGATAACTCCAGTAAAACATTCCATGGTCGTCATCTACCAACCTCCAAGCAGTAGGGAAGAATGGTGTACATGCCAAGGTGGCCCTGCATGGTTGACTCTCACACACAGGAGCTGGAGACAGCATAGTGGGTAAGGGCAAGGCTCTGGCTGAAAAGCTAGACTATTCAAGTTTTGAATCCGAGCAACTGGGTGACGTTGGGCTTCTTGGGGCCTCTATCGACCCATATGTAAATGGAAATGATTATTTACTCCATACGGTTGATGTGAGGATTAAATGTAGTAGTGATCTATAAATGTTAGCCCCTACAAATAGTGTACATTCAGAACTTTAGCACACAGGTACTTCACAGTGCACACTGTGCACGCAGGAAGCCTGATCTAGAATGAGGCTCCTCCTGCATCCAAGTCTGCATCTTCCTACATACAACCACTTTACTTCCCAAAGGTATTGTGACTCCCATCTGCCCACTACCCTGTCAAGGGTAGCATGAAGCTTGAGTATGTGCCCATCTATGAATGTAGCTGCCCTGGGTCCATTTACAGAACTGGCCCTTTTAGGCATAGGCCCCCAGCTTCCTATGCAAAGCTAAATACTGCAATTCTTCCACTTCAGCCAAACACACTTAAGTGGTTCAGAACCACCCTCACCGCATGCACAAAACAAGATGGAAGGGCTGAGCTTAACAGAGACTCAGACAACGTGATTTAAATAAATAAGCTGTATTATCTGTACAAAAAATATAAATACAGTTTTGTGTTTTAGAGGAGGCAGTGCCTCCTTCCACATTATTCAGCAGTCCTAATAATCTTGGGGTGCTGCTGAGTCACAATTCACAGAACAAACAGTAAATGAACATTCATGTCATGCAAGGAGCACGTGGCTTCCCACCCCAAACTGAAGTCCTCCAAGCTTGCTCTGAAACCCACTTCCAATGGCTCCAACCTGACACATGGCGGAGCTGAAGAACACCTACTATGTCGAATAAGTGAATATTGGCCAATGGTTTTCAACAGCTATTGAATTGGAAATGATCAGCCACATTAGTAATAGTATGGAATTTGTCTTCTTCATTCCATGCGTAACTATCATGTCACAAATGAATCACCTCTTATTGCCCCATCACCCCATGTTAGCTTTTACAATGTATTCTTACACAGTGGATGGATCCAGAGTTAAACATCAGGTTCTATTAAAAATAGGAACAATACAATAATCACCACTGAGTTTACAGGAACACAACTGCAGGAAGTTACTAAAAAGTCGCCCAAATATTTTGTTTTCTGGACAATGTACAATTATTAATATTGCACTTTTTTATACAAGAAATCCTAATAAATATTCACAAAAGATATACATAGAAAACATTCTCTTTTATTTTAAATAAACATTATGCTGATTTTTAGTAACATTTCTTAGAGCCCATTTTTGTGGTGAGGAAGAAAGAGACTCACCAAATTGTCCATAGCTTGCCTAGGGAAAACACAGCTTAACGTTGTCTTCCCCTCAACCTTTACTTCCAGGCTGGCTGGAAAATGCAGCCCTGATGTCAGTGGTGGCCCCAGAGAGAGTGGCATTTCACAAGAGTGTGTGAGGGGGTGGTTTATCTGAGGGGTAAGCGACTCTGGCCTTCCTTCCCTGCCATGACTATAAAACTGCGGCCACTCGGGGCGTGGGGGGCAGCCAAAATCACTTGTCCAAAGCCACTAGCCGAACGAGCAATTTGCCAAATAGTCCCCAAATTTCACTTGACTATGCCAAAGCTGTCTTACTCTAGATGATGGACCTTGCTGGTGTGTGTGTATGTATGTGTGTGTGCGTGTGCGCGCACGCACACGTCTTTGCCTGTTGATTTATCCGATCACCAGAACTGGTATATATTGATTCCCAGTAGTTCATTGTGTGGGGGGAATGGGTTGAAAAGCCTTGGAAGCTTTAGTTACCCTTCAGTTTTGCCACCGCACCCCATCACCCTGCCCCAGCCTGCTATATAAATAAGAGGGCAACTCTCACTGTGGTCTGGGAGGGGCCCGCACAAGCCCACTGTCCCACCGCATGCCCGGGCCAGCTCTGGAATGAAGTGGTTGCTATGATTTGATGGGTGCACTCTAGCAAATTGATTAATGAATTGTTTTTTGACAAATTGACTCTAGTCTCTGGCCCTTAAGTGCGGCAACAAAGGCCAAAAACCTGGCCTTTTCATGTTCAAAATGCCCCTGGCCCACAACAGCAGTGAATTCTGGGCTGGGGGACTCTAGATTTAAATAATGAGATGCCAGGGTAGCTTTGCTACTGGTGTATAGGCAGAAAGTTCACTGAGAAAGTGTGGGGAGCAGGGACTCTCCTCCACCCCATGGAGGGCATGTCTCTTACCAGAGCCTATATCCTCTGTGAGGGCTGCAGAGCTCTGAGCATCCCCTCCCCTGAGCCTACAGCCTCACACACCCAGGCACGGGGTTCAGAGCCTGTCTGTGAGCCTCTTGCCTGCTCACTCCTCCCCTGTCTTCCCCCATTTCCCTATTGAGGAACATGCACAGGCTTCTTTTTGCTTCTGTCCCCTTCCTTTGCTACTTTTTTATGCATCATATGCTTTAGTCCTACTTGGATTGTCTCCTCCTTTACCCCTACTTGTCCATGTTTTGAGTTCTTGTTGCTCTGTGCCCCCTGGCAGAAGAGCTGAGTTTGGGATGGGTTCTACCTCAGTACGGTGTCCTCCTCCTCCCTGCTTCCCCTTCCCAAGGCTGAGGGGCAGAGGAGGAGATGGGAGTAGCACACTCCCGCGTTAACAGGGCGCTGCCAGGGAAGACACAGTTGGTTGTCCAAAGTCTGGACCAATGCTTTACAAGCCACCTGGGCCCCTGCCCTCCCACCTGCCGGGAGCTCTGGCTCCCTGTTGTCCCCAGGGGCTGTGCCTGTCTCTTCCCAGGTCTCTTTGGGACCCAGGTTTGGGAGGGAGCTTCTGCTGTCTGGCACAGTCTGCTCTGCAACCTCCTTTAGACCTCCGTCTTTGTCCTTTCTCAACGTTCTGTCCTCCATCTAACTGAAACAGAAGACATGCTGAGGTCCTCATGTCTGGGGTGGGGTGGGGGGGCTGGGTGAGGGTTGTGAGCTGGGAGTGGGAAGGGGGAAATAAATAAATAAAACAAAGAAAGCTTAAGTTCTGTCCGAGGTGGTTGCGTGAGTCCTCTGTGTGGCCAGGGTGGATTCTTCCCTGTGCCCTGTCTTCACGCTTTGCCACAAGTTCCACAGCAGCGAGACTTGAACTGGCTGAGTTGGCAGAGTTTCAGCTGTTTCACCTTCTCGCAGTACCTGGTGGTATCTCTGCACTCCACTGGGTGGGGAAAGGGGACAGAAAGGAAACATGAAACAGAGGCTGATGGCTGTGGCCAAGTGGGTGCTTCCTGGGATCTGCTTTGGGCACTGGACCTCTGTTCTGGAGGGGCCACTGCTGTCCGGCACCTCTGGGCCAACCTTGCTCTGGTCGGGCTCAGCCACTTGCCCCGCAGGCTGCCAACAGGCCGCGGCTGCTGGCCAAATGCTGGGGCCCAGCCCAGGGCTGCTTGCTGCCTTTCTGATAGCTCCTCTCCTTCTTGAGGGTGTTTGTCTACTCCCTCTCTTTAGGAAAGCCTCACCTCTTAGGCAAGCTTGCTTTTTCCCATGGTATTTTAGCAAGCTACTCTCCTTTTCGAGCTGGTTCCCAGAAGGACTACATTCTGCTCCACTTTGAGGTAGTGTGCAAGTAAGGCCCTGGTTGATGGCCTCATTCTCTGGAGTGTTAGCCTTCCTTACCCTGTGAAACTTTGTTTTCTTGTATTCTCCACCTAAGCCTTTCTGCTTCTCCCTCCCCCCAACCAGGCCTGAGCAGAGCACCATGGCGGTGTTCTTGTTCAGTATTGGCACAGACTAGATGGTTCTTCAGTATTGGTGCTGATTTGGGTTGTAGGATCTGTGATTGACATAGTCTGAACTACTTTCATTGAACATTGGTACTGAGTGTGGGGAGCTCCTGTCACAAAGATGGGTCAGCACCACACAGGAGAACAAAGATCCTCTCTCCCCAGTGTGGAGACAGTGACAGGGGACAATCTGCCTCCAGGGAACCTGCCTCCGCAGTGGGATTCTGATGCTCAGCGAGGCCCTGTTGGGGGAAAACACTGAGACATTTAAAATTTTCTTCTTTTTTGCCTCATGCTTTGTCTTATTCCTTGTGGGGAAGCACCTCCAATTTGTTTTGGGCCCACAGGAAGAAAAAATAGATTCCCACCCAACTGGGATACAAATGCTGGTGTTGGGTTGAGGAGGATCAGACCTGCGGGAAGAGGGAGTGAATGAGTATCAGATCACAAAGGCAGGGCTTCTTGTCTAGTCCAGTTGTTTGTTGCTCATGGGGCTGTTGCGGGGAGGGAGGCAGTCAACAGGTCCTTGTTCTGTGAGAAGTAGAGCTTTGATGGATGCCGGGCCGACTGAAAAGAAAGCACTCTGCGTGCTGCTTTATTATAAATAGTGCTTTCTCTGTAGTAGCCTGGCCCTCAAGAGCCACTGTTTAATTGTCTCCTGTGGGCACCAGTGAAATGACTGCAGGTGAGCTGGAGGCTGATTTCATCTGGCACTTGGCCAATAGCACTTGGCTCTTTCAGGGCCAGGATGGAGCCCTTAGGGCACACCCAGCCATCCTTCATGGCCTGGATAGGTACACACACATCCTTGCACACATCTTTGCTTGCATGCATGCACCCATGCACCCCTCTGAACATACCTAACTCTGGCCTCAGCTCACAATCCTTGGGAAACCTGCTCTAATGCCCTATGCTCAGGCTCAGGCACTGCCCTCTGTACCTGATGCCCTGTGGGGAATTTGCAGAAGGCTCTTTGGGGTTGGAACATACTGTTTTCACATGGGGTGATGTTGCAGCGCTGCCAGTTGGCAGGCCGGGGCCCCCAGGAGCACAGGTGCTCAGGTACTGCCTTGCTGGTGCGGGCATGCACACACTCCACACGCCGAGACTGGAAGCCATAGTTGCCGCAGGTCGCTGTGCACAGGGTCCACAGGCTGACCCTCCAGTGTACGCTGCAGGCTTCTGACCAGCAGTTCTGGGTACTCACAGGCCTTCAGGAGAAGGGTGGCAGAGTTAGGTTAGAGTCTGTCTCTGGAGGGGCCAGATCAGGAGGACAGATGTGAAACAATGCTGCAAACCCAAGAATCTTGGGCAACTCAATACCTTCTAGATCTGGTTTCTGATCTATGCTCTGTTACTGAACAGCTGTAAGATCTCAGAAGGATACGTCCTCTGTCTGGGCCTTTGCTCATCTCTACAAACCTGCAGGACCAGAGAATGAGCTCTACCCATGGTGGAGGCTGGCAGAGGCAGAACCTGGAGCCAGTCTCAGGGGATGGCGCCTTAGGTGGGGGGTGGTGAGCCCTCACCCCTAGCAGAAATCTACAAGGAGGTATGACAGGAAATGGAGGCTATATAGGAATGATAGGTAGAGACCCAGGGATACAGGTACTCATCTCGGCATAATTTCTAGAGGGAGGTCAATAAGAATTAAGGGGCTGGTGGAGCCCTTGAGATGTGGTGGCTCTGGTGGCCATGCTATGGACCTCACTTCCTGCCCACCCTGGGGCTAGTGCAGGTCTCTGTGGTATTAGCCTTCCCTCAGAGGAACATCACCCCATGTGCTCTGCATCTCTAAGAGAGGAAAGCCCAGCTGTGTTCATTTGGCAAGTACCGGCAAGCGCAAGGCCTACCTACCTCTGAGCTGGCCAGTAGCCTGGGGAGAACAGAGGTGAAAGGGCAGGGCATTTGACCCCCAGGGCTGTGGGAGATTGGAGGAGAAACATTCATTCACCACCATCTCTCTGTGCTTTGACATAGACTGGGGAAAGGAGGTCCACGATTTTCTCTTACCTTGGAAGGGCACTGCACTGCTCTGATGGTAAGGTGATGCCATCCCGTGTCTGGCAGAAGACTTGTCTGTGTTGCACAGCTAGGCGAGGCCCAATGCAAGGCCCATTGCACTGGGAAGCAGAAAAAGGTGATGTAAGTCAAGTTGAGAGAGAGGCTGCAATGCTTAGGCTGCACTGGACACATGTGCAGAGTCTTGTTTGAGGCTTTTAGATCATTCATCTTGCCCCTCTGGGTCAACTAAAGGACATTCAATGGCATGTTTTCTTTGTGCCACAGTGAAATGTTTAGTTTTCTTGTGGTCTGAGTATTCTATTAGGATGCTGAACAAAATCAGACTTAGCTATAGTTAGTATAGTTAGTCTCTGCTTACATTCTCTTGATATGTGCTCATGGAGTTGGTTAACCTTTTCCCACAGTTCACAGAGTCAGACTCTATCGCATTAATACCCTTAACAACGGTGTCTGTAAAATACAAAAGCAGCAGGCCCTTAGCCTACATTTGCTATTTGAGTAAGAGGATAGATATCCCTTGGAAGTCACTTTGAAACAAAAGTCCTTAACCTGGGGAGTCTTTGGACTCCCTAGGGGTTCATGGGGGAGCTGTTAAAATTATAAGCAGAAACCTTCTGTTTATTGACATTTTTCTAGCAAGAGGCTCCATCTTTTATCAGATACACAAAGGATTGCAAAGGTTAAGAACCACTAAAGGAGAAGGATTTAAGGTAAAAGTAATCCTCTTAGGCCAGGTAACTATGCCCAAAGCCAGTTACTGCTCCTCCTGCTGTAGCCGAGTATACCAAAGTCTTGTCAATATCATGTTTGTCTGACCAAGTGATGCTAGAAAGAACTCAGAAAATAAAGAGATGATTTCTGAAGGGTCCAGTGTGATACTATTGTTCACAAAGGTACAGGAGGGTTAGGGAAAAATGCCCCTTGACACCACCAGTGGGAGTTTTTGTTTAAATGTGATAAAACATACATACATAATTTGTTAAAATTTATCATTTTAAGTATTGTTATGTGTACAATTAGTGGCATTAAGTACATTCATATTGTTGTACACCATCATCACTATCTCTAGAATGTTTTCATCATCTGTAACTAAACTCTGCACCTATTAAACAATAACTCCCTATTACCCCTTTCTACCAGTCCCTAGTAACCACTGTTCTACTTTCAGTTTCTGACTGACTACTCTAGGTACCTCATTTAAGTGGAATCATACAGTATCTGTCCCTTGGTGTCTGGCCTCTTTCACTTAAATTAGTTTTCAAAGTTCATCCAAGTTTTAACACATACAAAATTTCTTTTTTTAAGGTTGGATATTATACCACTGTAAATATAAGCATATTTTGTTTATCCATCCATCAATGGACATGTGGATTGTTTCTACTTTTTGGGTATCGTGAATAATGCTGCCATGAACATTAGTGTACACATATTTGTTCAAGTCCCTGCTTTCAATTCTTTTGAGTAGATACCCAGAAGTGGTATTGCTAGATTGTAAGGTAATTTTTTGAGAAGCCTCCATCCTGTCTTCCACTGTACCATTTTATATTCCTACCAACAGTGCACAAGGGTTCTAATTTCTCAATATCTTCACCAACACTTAATTTTGTTTTTTAAGTGGATGATAATGGATGATAAGTAGTATCTCATTGTGGTTTGGATTTGCATCTTCCTAATTACTAGTGATACTGAACATCTTTTCATTTGTGTATTGGCCATTTGTACATCTTCTTTGGAGAAATGTCTATTCAAGGCTTTGTTGTTGGCTTGTAGTTGTCTATATATTCAAGATATTAATGCTTTATCAGATTTATGATTTACAAATATAGTTGGTCCTGGAACAACACAAGTTTGAACTGTGCAGGGTCCATTTATGCACCAATATTTTTTTCAGTAAATACCTGTAGTGTTTCTGATATGCAGTTGAGAGTCTATGGATATGGAGGACCAAATATATGCATTGATCTATGCTATTTTTATGGGAGAATTGAGCATCTGTGGATTTTGGTAACCAATCCCCTGTGGATACATGATTTCTTTTGATCCTAGTTTGTTGAGTGTTTTTATCATTAAGGGGTGTTGAATTTTCTCAAATGATATTTCTATATTGCTTGAGATGACCATGTTCCGCACCCCCCCATTCTGATAATGTGGTATATTACAGCGATTGATTTTCATATGTCGAACCAACCTTACATTCTGGGATAACTTAAGGGATAACTTAAGTTTTTGCAGAGTCAAAAGTTATACACAGATTTTCAATTGCATGGGGGTTAGGTACCCTTATCTCTGGTGTTATTCAAGGGCCAACTGTATTTTTTCCCAATTTGTGTGTTGCCTTTTTTACTTTGTTGATAGTGTCTTTTGATGGAGAAAAGCTTTCATTTTGATGATGTCAGTTATCTAATTTTTCTTTTGTTACCTGTGCTTTTAGTGTCACAGTCAAGAAATCATGTCCAAATCCATTATGGAGCTTCCTCACTATGTTTTCTGCTAAGAGTTATTTACTTTTAACTCTTATGTTTAAGTCTTTGATCTATTTGGAATTAATTTTTATAGATGGTGTAAGGTAAGGATCCAACTTCATCCTCTTGTATGTATATGCAAGAGTTTATTTCTGGGCTCTCTGTTCTATTCTATTCCATTGGTCTGTATGTTTTCCTGTATGCCAGTACTACACTGTTTCAGTTACTGTAGCTTTGTAGTACGTTTGGAAATCAAGAAGTGTGAGACCTTGAACTTTATTCTGCTTTTCCAAGATTGTTTTGATCATTTGAAATTCCTTAAGATTCCATTTGAATTATAGGATGGATTTTCTGTTCCTGCAAAAAAAGTTGGTATTTTGTTAAAAATTGAATTTGTAGATCAATTTTGAGCAGTATTGATATCTTAAGTTTTCCAGTCCATGAACACCTTTATTTGTCTAATTTATTTTATCAATGTTTTGTAGTTTTCAATGTACAAGTCTTTTAGCTCCTTGGTTAAGTTTATTCCTAAGTATTATTTTTGGTGCTATTATAAACTGAATTGTTTAAAATTTCAGATTGTTCATAATTTGTATATAGAAATGCAACTAATTTTTATGTATTGATTTTGTACCCTGCACTTTTATTGAATTTATGTATTATCTCTAAGATATTTTTGTTGTTGTTACTAGGATTTTTGGGCTTTTATATATGAGATCATACCATCTATGAACAGAGACAATTTTATTTCTTCCTGTCTAACTTGAATGGCTTCACTTTTCTTTTTCTTGCCTAATGCTCTGAACTTCCAATACTATACTGAATGAAAGTAGAGGACATTGCATTCTTTTCTTGTTCTTCATCCTGGGGAAAAGTTTTCCATTTTTCACCATTGAGTATGTTGTTAGCTGTGGGTTTTTATATATGGTCTTTATTATTTTGAGGTGATTTTTTTTGATCCTAGTTTGTTAAGTGTTTTTATCATTAAGGGGTGTTGAATTTTCTCAAATGATATTTCTATATTGCTTGAGATGACCATGTTCCGCACCCCCCCATTCTGATAATGTGGTATATTACAGCGATTGATTTTCATATGTCGAACCAACCTTACATTCTGAAAATAAATCTTACATGTTCATGGTGTATAATCCTTTTGAATATGCCATTAAATTTGGTTTGCTAGTATTTGTTGAGAATTTTGGCATCAATATTTAGAAGGAAATATTGGTCTTTAGTGTTCTTGTAATTTCCTTTTCTGGCATTGGTATCAGGGTAATGCTGGCTTCATAGAATGAGTTAGGGAGTATTAGGGTTCCCTCCCCTTCAACTTTTAAGAATTGGAGAAAGACCGGCGTAAAATCTTTAAATATCAGGTAGAATTCATCAGTGAAGCCATTTGATCCAAGGCTTTTCTTTGTTGAGAGTTCTCTTTGATTACTAATTCAATCTCCTTACTAGTTTTAGGTATATTTTTATTTTTTCATGATTTGGTCTTGGTGGGTTGTGTGATTCTAAGAATTTGTTTATTACATCTAGGTTATCCAATTTGTTGGTATATATTTGTTCATAGTATTCTCATATAATCTTTTTATTCTATAAAATCAGTAATGTTACCATTTTCATTTCAGATTTTAATAGTCTTTTTTTTCTTAATCAGTGTAGCTAAAAGTTAGTCTGTCCAACTTTTGGTTTTGTTCATTTTTCTCTACTAATTCTCTTTTTTTTAAAAAAAATTTTACTTTATTCTGTATTTCCTTCTGCTAGCTTTGGGTTTAGTTTGCTCTTTTTTTTTTTTTAATTTCCTTAAGGTATAAAGTTAGATTCTTGAGTTGAGATTTTCCTTTTTTTTTGTATTTGAATCAAAATAATATATATGTTTTTTTTCTTTCTTAAAATTTTGTGATTAGTTTCAAGTATACAGTTCATTGGTTAGACATTTATATAGTTTATGAAACAACCCCCCTGATTACTCTTTCCTTTGGCTCTACAGCTAGCCATTACATTAATGCTGACTGCATTCCCTATGCCATGCTCCCCATCTCCGTGACCTTCAATCAACTTCTAATTTGTATTACTATAACCCTTCACCCTTTTTCCCAGTCCCCCAACCCTCCTCCCTTCTGGCTGTCACCAGATTGTCCTTTAGATTTGTGAGTCTGTTTTCGCTTAGTTATTTTTGTTGTTCTTTAGATTCCACATTTAAGTGTAATCAAATGGTATTTATCTTTCTCCGACTGACTTATTTCACTCAGCATATTAACCTCCATGCATGTCGTTGCGAATGGTAGGATTTTTTTTTAATGCCTGAGTAATATTCCATTGTATATATGAACCATAACATACTTATGAATTTTCTGTTTTCCTTCTGCTACTAACTTCTAGTTTCACCCATTGTAGTGAAAAGATACATTGTATAATTTCATTCTTTTAAAATGTACTGACTTGTTTCATGGTCTAACATGTAGTTTATCCTGGAGAATGTTTAATGTACACTTGAGAAAAATGTGTATTCTGCTGTTGTTAGGTGGAGTGTTCTGAATCTGTGTTTTTATAGTGTTGTTAAATTCTTCTATTTTTAAATCGATCTTTTGATTCTATGCATTAACAAAAATAGGGTATTTACATGTCTAACTATT